CTTCTCTTTTCCATATCTTGCTGGTCTGTTTGGGACCACCCATGCTATGTCGTCTTTCTTGACACTTTCTCTGGTTCCTCCAGAATGAGCTGTTTGATCTCTCTCCCTGATCACGCTTTGCTCCTAACTTGGGGAAGGCACTTTGCATATTGTTTACAGTCTGATTCCCACCTCCCTAGTCTGTGCGTTCTGCTCCTGTGGCTGAAGCTGTCATAGGCTGCACATCTTTGGGGCCTTGCACAGAGTATGTGCTTGGATGCCCACCCCCCACCTCCCCAGCCTGATGTTTGAAGTAAGAAGACTGTTCCTGGCAGGGGTTGAGTTTGTTTCTTATGCTTCTGTCCTAAAACAGGTTTGCTTATTTTTGTTTTTTTGAGGGGTCTGAGTGGGTGTATGAATAGTAAAGCAGTGACAAGTTTAAATAGTGTTTTAATAGAAACATGGACACCAGGCTCTAGGGTGGACATTCTTAGCAGGGCAGTGGTAAAAACAATTGTCTTGATTCTTTTTTTGTAGTAACTGATCAACAGCGAATACTGGTATCTTTTGTTTACTTGTTTTCAGTGTGTTCCTGAGAAATACGTTTTCTGTTGATAGCCTCGGAAAAAAGTGAGGGGAAGAGCTTAAGAAACTTGCTTGAAATTACAGATACACGTACATCGAAGACAGGGTCTTGACTCAGGAATGCAGGTTACACGGGAAGAAAAGTGTCTCCACTATGCTGGGACTGGCCTTGTGCCACACCCTTGCACGTTCACACCTGTCATGCATACCTGTGCTGGGTGTTTTTCCTCATTTTTAAAATTTAGGAATGACTAATGAACAGTGAAATGCATTTTATTTTATTTTATTTTATGTTAGAGACAGTGGCACGATCTCGGCCTCCCAGGTTCAAGTGATTTTCCTGCGTCAGCCTCCCAAGTAGCTGGGATTGAGTTTGTCTCACTCTGTTGCCCAGGCTGGAGTACAGTGGCACAAACGCGGCTCACTGCAGCCTTGACCTCCCAGACTCAAGCAGTCCTCCTGCCTCAGCCTCCCGAGCATCTGGGAGTTCAGGCTGTGCCTGGCCAACTTCAAAAAAAACATTTTTTGTAGAGACAGGGTCTTGCTGTGTTGCCCAGGCTAGTCTCAAACTCTTGGGCTCGTGATCCTGCCTTAGACTCCCAAAGCAATGGGATTATAGGTATGAGCCACTGCACCTGGCCCCACATTTTAAAGTATATAGTCCATCTGTTTTTTTTAAACAGTGAATTGTATTTTGTTTTGACAAATGCACATGCGTGTGTCACCCACTTCCGTCTCAAGATATAGGCATGCTTATCAACTTACAGTTTGGCCCTCCACAGTCACTACCGCTTGTGCGCAAACACTTACTCTGATTTCTTTTTTTTTTTTTCTTTTGAGATGGAGTTTTGCTCTTGTTGCCCAGGCTGGAGGAGTGCAATGGCGCCATCTTGGCTCACTGCAACCTCCGTCTCCCTGGTTGAAGTGATTCTCCTGCCTCAGTCTCTCGAGTAGCTGGGTTTACAGGCGTGCGTCACCACGCTCGGCTAATTTTTAGTAGAGTTGGGGTTTCTCTGTTGGTCAGGATGGTCTTTAATTCCCAACCTCAGGTGATCCGCCTGCCTTGGCCTCCCAAAGTGCTAGGATTACAGGTGTGAGCCACCGTGCCCAGCCTGATTTCTTTCTAAATAAGTGAGTTTGCCTCACTCAGAATATCATATCCATGGAATCACACTATATATATTCTTCCGTGTCTGGCTTCTTTCACGTAGCAGAATATTTTTGAGATTAAGCCATGTTGCTTGTTTCAGTAATATTTTCCTGCTTTTTGCCCAGAAGTATGCCATTATAGGAATACACCACTGTTTGTTATCTGTCCCCTGTTGATGGGTATTTGGCTTGTTTCCACTTTGGGGGTGTGATGAGCACAGCTGCTGTGAACTGTCCGGTTTGGGGGTGTGATGAGCACAGCTGCTGTGAACTGTCTGGTTTGGGGGTGTGATGAGCACAGCTGCTGTGAACTGTCTGGTTTGGGGGTGTGATGAGCACAGCTGCTGTGAACTGTCCGGTTTGGGGGTGTGATGAGCACAGCTGCTGTGAACTGTCTGGTTTGGGGGTGTGATGAGCACAGCTGCTGTGAACTGTCCGGTTTGGGGGTGTGATGAGCACAGCTGCTGTGAACTGTCTGGTTTGGGGGTGTGATGAGCACAGCTGCTGTGAACTGTCCAGTTTGGGGTGTGATGAGCACAGCTGCTGTGAACTGTCCAGTTTATGGGTGTGATGAGCACAGCTGCTGTGAACTGTGTCATACAGGTTTTTGTGTTCATACTTACTTTTCTTGGGTGAATACCTGGAAGTGGAATCTCTGAGTCACAGGGTGGTGGTAGTTGTTAATTGTGAGAAAGTGCCAGACTGCTTTCCAAATTGGTTGTTGTGTGGTTACTTTTTAAAATTTATAAAACTATTGGCGATTTCATCTCACTGTAGAAATCTGGTGTAGACCTGATGCTTGCAATTCTCAGTCTGGGATTTTGCAAACCAGTTTTTGATTTTAAAACACTGCTAAGATAAGCTCATTGGAAAACAGTTCAAGATATGACTAACCATTTCATGTTTCTGGCTGGTGCAAATATACTTGAATAAAGTTACTATATAGAAATAGTGCATTTAGGCTGAGGCGGGAGTTCAAGACCAGCCTGGCCAACATGATGAAACCTTATCTCTACTAAAAATACAAAAATTAGCTGGGCGTGGTGCTGGGTGCCTGTAGTCCCAGTTACCTGGAAGGCTGAGGCAGGAGAATCACTTGAACCCGGGAGGCTGAGGTTGCAGTGCCCACTGCACTCCAGCCTGGGTGACACAGTGATAGAGTGAAACTCAGTCTCAAATACGTACATATGTGCATACATACAGCATTTAAAGTCATCTCCATTGGCTTAAGCACCACGGGGTTCCTGGCCAAGTTTGTTATTTAAAAGCTCAGTTGGGAGGCCAAGGCCGGTGGATCACAAGGTCAGGAGTTTGAGACCAGCCTGGCTAACATGGTGAAACCCTGTTTCTACTAAAATATGAAAAGTTAGCCAGGCGTGGTGGTGCGTACCTGTAACCCCAGCTACTCGGAACGCTGAGGCAGAAGAATCACTTGAACCCGGGAGGCGGAGGTTGCAGCTAGTCGAGATTATGCCATTGCACTCCAGCTTGGGCAACAAGAGCGAAACTCCCTCAAAAAAAAAAAAAAATTTCTCAGAAGGGCCTGAGAGCTGGAACTGGGTTGGGGACCAGTACTATGTCAGTGTTTGTCTAGGGCCTGGGCAGAAGACGGAGGGAGAACCAGTCCCTGAGGGATCTGGCAATGGATGAGGTGGGCACAGGGACCTCCATAGAGCTGGCCCAGGTGGAGGTGTGGCACACTTGAGGCAGGAGACAGCGCCAAGACACCTGCCATCTCCGGCTATTGGGAGACAATCCAGAATATGTTTGCAGAAACTGGGGACACTTCCCTTACCCACCTCTTGGTCCTGCCTCAGCCCCCTGGCCCCCTGCCCTCTTCAGCCCCAGGGGCCTCCTGGTGTACTAGTCAGGGCTCTTGGTTTCAGACAACAGACAGCAGCTGAGGGTTGACTCAAGCAGGAAAAGCAGTGTGGTGGAAGCTTATCAGCTACAGATGGAGCAGAGCAGCCAGGCAGCTGCACTGGAGCCAGAGCTGAAGCCCACCACAAGGAGCTCTGCTTGCCCTTTCTTCTGGGGCCTCCTTTACTCGACCTCTGTTTGGAAGGTGGACCTCCTGACCTGATCTTCTAATTTTATTTTACATTCTCGCCTCATGGTTTTCTCTCTGCCCTCCCGTTGTCCTCTCTGGGACATTTCTACTTTTTTGTGCAATTCTGTTTAAGAAAATTTAGAATCTATACATGGTTGTATTTTCATCATTTAATAATCAGGAAGTTATTAAATTCTTCCTTTTTGTTTCATAGATAAAATCTCTTCTTATTTCTAAGAGTATGGATTAGTTGTGCCTTGCTGACATTTTCTTCTCTGTGCATCACGTATGTTCTGGATTCTTACTCATTTCTGCTCTTTCCTGAGGTGTGTTTGGACTTTGGTTTTGTATAACAACCACAACAAGCACTTGAAACCTCTTTGTCCGTGGTGGGGGTTGGGGGGTTTCTCTGTGGCCCTCCTCTTAGGGAGGTCTGACGGTGAATCTCCTTTTTGTTGGGTTTTCCCCGCCGCACTGAGGAGTCTTCAGATCTTTCTCTTGGGTCATATGAGTGCTAGAGAAGATTCCTTGACCCTCCAGTCTGCCAGGGTTTGGGGAGCCACGTGGGAGATGTGCGCTGGGAGTCTCTACTCTCATTGTGTGGCCCTCACTGGGTTCCTGTGTCCCTTCAGCTCCTTGCTCCTCCCACAGCAGGGCCTGCCCTTCAAGTCCAGCCCCTCCTGCCTCATGGGCTCTGTCTCTGTTCTGTGGCCGGTAAATCAGTTTATTGACGGTAGAAGCGCAGGCTAGGCAGATTGGCCTGCCCTAGGGGATTTTTCAGCTTATAGATCTATATTTAACACTGGGGCTAAAAGAGAAGGAGGGTAAATGGAAATATTTAGAACAAATTACTTAATTTCCAGGATTGTGAATTCACCTAGTAATTAAAACGTAGAAGAGCAATAATGTCATCCTTTTTTTTTTTTTAATTTTTTTTGAGACAGAGTTTCGCTCTTGTTACCCAGGCTGGAGTGCAATGGCGCGATCTCGGCTCACTGCAACCTCTGCCTCCTGGGTTCAGGCAGTTCTCCTGCCTCAGCCTCCTGAGTAGCTGGGATTACAGGCACGCACCACCATGCCCAGCTGAAATAATGTCATCCTTAAGGATAGTTCTGAGTGACAGAACTTGATGCGTCAAATGTTACATTGCTTATATACACTCCAAAAATTAATCGTACCTTAAGAAATATACATCTGTTGTAAATCACTTTTCTAATCAGATTCTGTTGTCTTTCAGATCCAATCACGTAGGGCAGTATGCACCTTAAGATCCTGAAGAAAAGGCACAAAGCACTCAAGTGATGTTTCGGAAGGGTTTGTGAGGTGAGAGTGTAATTCTTTCGGGTCTCATCGCTGTTACGTTTCTCACAGCTCACACTAACTTGTATGTTACTAAAAAGGTAACCTGTGCGTGCGGCAGAGCAGAGGTGTGGTGCAAGAGCTGACAGGCACGCCTTCGTTTTCAGTCCCTGCCTGCCTGTCCTGGAAGGAGGGGGTATCTCTGGAGGGGACTTCATGAACTGAATTGATGAGTGATTGGCCAGTATTACAAGACAAGGGGAATACTCAGCTTTACACTTGAAGCAGAAAGTGTTTTTTTTTAGATGGAGTCTCCCTCTGTCACCTAGGCTGGAGTGCAGTGGCGTGATCTCAGCTCACTGCAACCTCTGCCTTCCGGGTTCAAGTGATTCTCCTGCCTCAGCCTTCCTAGTAGCTGGGATTACAGGCAACCGCCATCATGCCCGGCTAATTTTTGTATTTTTCATAGAGACAGAGTTTCACCATGTTGGCCGGGCTGGTCTCAGATGGTCCTCTCACCTTGGCCTCCCAAAGTGTGGGATTACAAGCATGAGCCACCAAGCCTGGCCTGAATTGGAAAGTTTTTGCTTGTGTGGTTGTCCCTTTAAATACAGAGATCTGCAGTGTTGCTTTTGGTGTTCTGGGAAACGGGGCTCTATTTAATGTGCCGATAAAGAGCTTAGGTTCAGGAGTGTTGACCAAATCCCATTAAATAGGCCATTAAAGTAGAAGAGCGATTCTGGGACATCTGTCTGACAGTGCACAGTGTTTTCATGGCTCCCTCAGAAACTGTCTTGAGTCCGAAGTCAGTAGCAGTTTTGGAATTCAATGTAGAGTAAGGCTGTGCCCTTACTCTTAAGGAATGTGTGCATTTTGATCCTGCATCTCAAATGGCCGTGCTGTTTGCTCTTAGATTAGGTTTCATGTAAAGGATGGTTTCGATTCTGTCCCTTCCCTTCCTGTTGCATTACTCAAGTGTAAATACAGTGACTCAGAGACATGAGTGCACTTTGTTAGTGAGAGCTGTATTTGTCCAGCCTAACCCTACTATATTCATTTGTTGGTTTCTTGAAAATAAAGCAATTTTTGGATCTCAAGTTATTTTCATGTTGACTTACAATGGATCTTACAGATATGGCACTAAATCCCTGCAGTGTTATAAGTCACCCTAATCTGCCCTTGTAGGAACATCCTGCCATGGCCAGTGTTGGGTGTCTGTGGGCACTCTCCTTACACAGCTGTGCCTGCCATCCGCACCCCAAGGTCAGGCATGGCACTCCAGCAGCAGCCTGCTCTCCAGGGAGGTCTCACCAGAACCTGAACCAGGAAGGCGGAGCTGAGCTGGCTCAGGTGTCACACGTGTGCCTTTAGAAGACTTTCAAGGGGCCCTGCTTTCTGGAGAGAGCTCAGACTTCCCAAACACTGCACTCTGATGAAAGTATAGCATGTTTTACTGCCTGGCAAGCACCCTCCCTTTTCTCATGGAATGTGTCCTGTTAGAGAAGTCACCATAAAGTGGTTCTGATCAGAGGAATTTGTCAGCTTAAGGCCTTTATGTATTTGGGGCCACAGATAAGATGCACCAAGAAGCTTACATGGAAATCAGCAGATTACTGGACTCTGAGAGAGGGACTGCTTGCTCTTCATTGCATCTCCCTTTTAACAAACATGCCCTTGCTGTGTGCCAGACAGCATGGAGGGCACAAGGAGACCAGAGGGAGAGGAGACCCACACCCGCCTGGAGGGGCTGACATCAGGTAGGGAGGTGGGACCTGCAGGAGCTCTCAGGTAGCAGGTGTCAGTACCCGGGGGGAAGAGCTGGTGAGCGTGCCCAAGGTTTCAGGGGAGGCAGAGAAACTTCCAGGTACTTTCTCAGCCTCCTGACAGTCAGGCATTACTAGTGGTGCAGGCAGAAGCAGTTCCAGCCTTTAGCTCATGTCTGATGTTTAGAGACCCTGACCCCTTTACAAAGAGCTCCTCAGAAGAAACAGAACTCCCTTTTCAGAGTGGCTTGCCTAGAAGTGAGAAAAGTTAGGACCTGCAGGGTGAATGGGGTTTGTGGAGGAAATGGGCACTGTCGAGGTGTTTGCAGGGATGCTGAGCAGACAGAGCTGGAAGGTGCAGGTTCAGTCAGTGCTGACGGAATGGCTGGCTAAGGGGGCTGTCCACATCCTTTTCATTGTTAGTTTCTTCTAATTCACTTAAACACTTACTTTATTTTTTTATTTTTATTTTTTGGTTTTAAGGAGCAGAGAGTTTAATAGGCAAGAAAGGGCAAGAAGGAAGAGGCTCCCCTGTATAGAGACAGAGGGAGGAGGGCTCCAAAGCCAAGAGAGGGAACCCCCAACACTTACTTTAAAACATTTTTTTTAATTGAAACAATTTTGTTGACACCAGGTCTTACTCTGTTGCCCAGGCTGGAATGCAGTGGTGGGATCATGGCTCACTGTAGCTTCAACCTCCCCGGCTCAAGCGATCCTCCCACCTCAGCCTCCCAAACAGCTGAGACTACACGTGCATGCCACCACACCTGACTAATGAAAAATGTTTTTTTTTTTTTTAAAATAGAGATTGGGTCTTCCCATGTTGCCCAGGCCAGTCTCAAACTCCTGGGCTTAAGAGATCCTCCCACCTTGGCCTCCCAAAGTGCTGAGATTACAGGGGTAAGCCACTGCACTCAGCCTTGAGCATTTTTAATTTATTTTTATTTTTTGAGACAGGGTCTTTCTGTTACCCAGGCTGGAGTGCAGTGGTGTGATCATTGCTCACTGCAGCCTCAACCTCCCAGGCTCAAGCAGTCTTTCTACCTCAGCCTCTCTAGTAGGTGGGACTACAGGTGCAAGCCACCATGCCTGGCTAATTTCTTTTTTTTTTTTTTTTTTTTGTGGGGATGAAGTTTACTCTGTTTCCCAGGCTGATCTCAAAATCCTGGGCTGAAATGATCCTTTTGCCTCAGCCTCCCAAAGTACTGGGATTACAGATGTGAGCCACTGCACCCAGCCTTAAGCATTTCTTAAAGCTGTTTTTATCTGATGGAAAAACAGGGTTATTTTACTGACTTTCAAGAACAGTTTCATTTTGCTCTTGTACCAGTCAGCATTTTTGTATCTAGAGGAGCTTTTGTAAAGTATTTGGCGAATGAACTCTCACCAGCATGTTCATTCAGCGAACGTTTTCATAATTGCTGTGTTCCAGTCGTATTTAAGAAAAGAAAAAGTCACATCCAGATTTGAAAAACGGTGCTGTTACTTTTAATAGTGACCTGAACTCTGAGAACATCCTATTACTCTTCCTTATTCACATTTCAGAAGCCACGGTTTCTGCACTCTGCCTGCTTAAAAGGTGAGCGCTCCTGCTCTGAGAAGGTGCTGGGGTCAATTTGTTATAATATTTGTCAGTGTTTTCTCCCCCTGGAAAGGCTAAGGGGAAATTGACCGTCTCTTCCTTTCATGAGTTACAATATTTGTCAGTGTTTTCTCCCCATGGGAAAGCAAAGGTGAAATTGACTGTCTCTTCCTTTCCCTGGTTCTTTATCTGTGGTACTATAACTCAGAGCAAACACCAATGAGAGAAGGGCATACAATCAAAGAAGCAGTCAAAACAGTTATGGAAAATTGGACTTTTTTCCTTTCTTTCTTTTTTTTTGAGATGGGGTCTCACTCTGTTGCCCAGGCTGGGGTACAGTGGCGCCATCTCGGCTCACTGCAACCTCTGCCCCCTGGATTCAAGTGATTCTCTTGCCTCAGCCTCCTGAGTAGCTAGGATTATAGGTTCCTGCCGCTGCGCCCAGCTAATTTTTGTATTTTCAGTAGAGATGGGGTTTCACCATCTTGGCCAGGCTGGTCTTGAGCTCCTGACCTCGTGATCTACCCACCTTGGCTTCCCCAAGTGCTGGGATTACAGGCGTGAGCCACTGTGCCTAGCCTACTTTTTTCTTTAGTTTCTTTAGATCCTGTATGTTCTTCGAAATCAGATGCTATTGGAAATAGGGAAGAAGTGTCAAAAGGATGGCTTGTGAAAGAAAAGATTAATAAATGAAGGAAAGGCAGGGCATGGTGGCTCATGCCTGTAATCATATCAGTTTAGGAGGCTGAGGCAGGAGGATTGAGTTCAGGACTTCCAGAGCAGCCCAGGTAACACAGTGAGACCTTGTCTGTGAGCTATGATTGTGCCACTGCACTCCAGCCTGAGCAACAGAGGGAGACCCTGTTCCCCCCAAAAAGGAAAAAAGGAAACTTTAAAAGATGAAAAAAGAGGCTGGGGACGGTGGCTGATGCCTGTCATCCCGGCACTTTGGGAGGCTGAGGTGGGTGGATCACCTTAGGTAAGGAGTTTGAGACCAGCCTGGTCAACATGGTGAAACCCCGTCTCTAGTAAAATTGCAAAAAAAAATTAGCCAGTTATGGTGGCAGGCACCTGTAATCCCAGCTACCCGGGAGGCTCAGGCAGGAGAATCACTTGAACCAGGGCAGTGGAGGTTGCAGTGAGCCAGGATCATACCACTGCACTCCAGCCTGGGCAACAGAGTGAGACTTGGTCTTAAAAAACAAAGACAGAGGAAGGGTATGCTAGAAGCAGGGTAGAGTACCAAGGAACAGAGATACAAAAATGGGAGTCTGCTACAAAAGCATCAGGGAGAAGTGAGAAGAAACTGAGAATCAGATGGAGAAAAAACAGATAAGACCAATGAGGTCCCTGTGTATGAGGCAGTGTAAAAATGAATAGAGGACCATCATGCTGTTGGCCATAATCTGTGCTGAGTATCTGCTTGGGAGCATTCAGGTGAGCTGCTGAGCAGAGCAGGGATGGGTGGGGCCCTGGGGAAGCAAGTGCAGCAGTGATACGGCACAGCTCCTCTCCACCCTGCTGGGAACCCGGCGCTTTGACTTCACATCTAGCTGTGCTTTGCATCATCTTTGTGGCCATGGCTGGCTGTAGGTGACAGTTTTGTGTATGTAGGTGTGACCTGTACTGCGGGACTTACTGTGTTGTAGTAAAGCAGTCAGTAAGATCAGAGATTTAAATGTTTAGATCTCTGTTACGTTTTTCTGTTCTTTCCCACTTTGTGATTTAGACTAACTTTATGAAATGGCCAAGGACAAACCGTAACACATCATATTTAAGGTGTCTTGTGAGCTTCGTGAGCCTCACCAGCTTTGTATCGTCCCCCTCCCCAGGGTGCGTCAGGGAAATCATGCAGCCATCAGGACACAGGCTCCGGGACGTCGAGCATCACCCTCTCCTGGCTGAAAATGACAACTATGACTCTTCATCGTCCTCCTCCTCCGAGGCTGATGTCGCTGACAGGGTCTGGTTCATCCGTGATGGCTGCGGCATGATCTGTGCTGTCATGACATGGCTTCTGGTCGCCTATGCAGACTTCGTGGTGACTTTCGTTATGCTGCTGCCTTCCAAAGACTTCTGGTACTCTGTGGTCAACGGGGTCATCTTTAACTTCTTGGCTGTGCTCGCCCTGTCGTCCCACCTGAGAACCATGCTCACCGACCCCGTGAGTGCTGGCTGCGTCACTGGGGACCCTCTCGTGTCTGGACTAGTGTCGCACACAGACCATGTGGTGAATGGCCTTGGGTTTTTATTAATTCCTGGACACAAGCTTGTAGCCTTTTCATGTCTTAACTGGAGAAGAAATTGCTTAAATAGTAGTGATACCATGCTATACTGATGGAAAGTATTAGCTCATTGGGCTGGTTATTCAAATGAAGAGATTGTGCTAGATAATTTCTTTCTTTCTGTCTGTCTGTTTATTTTTTGAGGTGGAGTATTGCTTTGTCGCCCAGGCTGGAGTGCACTGGTGTCATCTCGGCTCACTGCAACCTCTGCCTCGCAGGTTCAAGCTATTCTCTTGCCTAGCTTCCTGAGTAGCTTGGACTACAGACGTGTGCCACCACACCCAGCTAATTTTTTTTGTTTTGGAGATGGAATCTCCCTCTGTCTTCCAGGCTGAAGTGCAGTGTGCAACCTTGGCTCACTGCAACCTCTCCTTTCCAAGTTCAAGCAATTCTCCTACCTCGGCCTCCTGAGTATCTGGAATTACAGGCACCTACCACCATGCCTGGCTAGTTTTTTTGTATTTTTAGTAGAGACAGGCTTTTGCCATGTTGGCCAGGCTGATCTCGAATTCCTGACCTCAGGTGATCGATCCGCCCACCTTGGCCTCCCAAAGTGCTGGGATTACAGGCATGAGCCACTGCACTGCGCCTTTTTTGTTTCTTTAGTAGAGATGGGGTTTTGCCATGTTGGCCAGGTTGGTCTCAAACTCCTGACCTCAGGTGTTCCACCTATCTCAGCCTCCCAAAGTTCTGGGATTACAGGCATGAGCCACCGTGCCCAGCCTGTGTTAGGTAATTTCTAAAATCCCTTCTTGTTTAAATACTTTGTTTTTTCCCAAGGATAGACTGAAAGCTGGGAAGCCTGGGTTCTAGATGTCACCACTTTGCCAGTGTCCTCAGGTGTGGCTGACCCTTTGGAGGAAGCAGTGCACCCTGGAGTTGAGGCGTAGTGCACAGGGAACAGATTGACAAGGGGGTGGATTGAGCTCATTTTTGGAGCAGATTCCCTTTAGGCCGAGAATAAACATAGGCCAGACCTAGCACAGTGAAATATGCTTCATTCCTGCTGTGTTGCAGGCCACCAGATTCTGCTCCCACCTTGGCTAGGCCGAGAATAAACATAGGCCAGACCTAGCACAGTGAAATATGCTTAGTTCCTGCTGCGTTGCAGGCCACCAGATTCCACTCCCACCTTGGCTTTTAGGCTGTTCCTGAGTTTAGAGACATCCTTCAGTCAGGGAAGGGCATTAGGGCTGATCGTAGATTCTCGCAGCTCAGCCATCCGTCACCTACAGTCAGTGAGTTCCAGGCTCCCTGTAGAGCTCGGAGGAGATGCCCAGCAGCTGCAGCCATGCAAGGCCAGGTCTTAGCAGTCAGTAGATTTTCATTTAAAAAAGTTATTTACACTGCTTTAAAACAGTGGTTTCAAACCACGGTATAGGGATTCCCAATATGTCCATTTAAAATCTACTGGGTTCTTGTCTGTTTCAGCTTTCTCTAAAGAAGGTACCCAGAAGTTAGTAAGATTAGGACTCTTCTTTTCAAGTGATTTTTCTGGCTCAGCCTCCGGAGTAGCTGGTATTACAGGCATGGACCACCACACCCAGCTAATTTTGTATCTTCAATAGAGACAAGGTTTCGCCATGTTGGCCAGGCTGGTCTTGAACTCCTGACCTCAGGTGATCCACCCGCCCCGGCCTCCCACTGTGTTGGGATTATAGGTGTGAGCCATTGCTGCCAGCCAGGAGTCTTTTTCGAGAATTAACTGATACTGATCAGCTCACAGAATGTAGTCTACATGTGGCTTTATCTGAATTAATGATTCAGGGTTTGGATGTACATTGTTTACTGTCTCCTCTTTCACTAGTAGAGGTCTTGGGAAGCTGTCCGGGGAATGGGACAGTATTACAGGCCCTACCCACTGGGCAGCTGGGGAATGGTACCTTGGGGACAAACTCGGAAGCAAAGTCTGCTAATGGCTTTGTAGCCTGGCCTGATGGTGTGGACTCTTTGACCATAACTGGGTCTCTTCTCTGACGGGTTTGTGCCTTTGGAGGAATAAAGGCTGGCTGGTCATTTCCTTTTACGCAGCAAGTCTCCCTCCAGGAGCAAACCCTGCTCCTGATCCCTATGTGTCTCTGCCCTCTCCTTCCTTGGGTGCAGCTGAAACCCCCTGTAGTCAGACACTTTGACTAAGGAGAGTGCCAGCCTCAGGGCTAGAGCCGGCTCAGCGATTTCTACTGGATTGTTGCCTTGTAGGAAAAATCCATGAATGTTGACCATCTGCCCGCAGAGCGAAAACTGGGCTGGACCCATCCCTTTGGGCAGTTGTGGTGACGGAACCGTGTCTGTGCAAGGCTTCCTGCTTGTGAGTGTGGGGTAGGCATGGGGAGGGGCAGCCCAGCTCGGACTCCTAGGCAGTTTGCTCCTCTCCACTGACAAGTGCACTTGCCCCTTCCTCCTCTCCGCTTGGACTCTCCTGCTACTCAGCAGCCCAGCTCCTGATCCCACCCTGCCCCTGCTCCTGGGGAAAAGGGCCCAGAAGCCCAGAGAGCTGGAGGTGGCCAGGAAGTAGGGGTAGAAGGTACGTGCAGGCCATGCTGCTGCCCTGATGGGCACATTTCTTTTGCTTGTTGTGTCACTGCAGAGAATGTTGAGTGGAACGTTGTGAGGGAGAGGTTGGAGATCTTGGATGTCAGGGATTTTTTGAATGAGATTTAATTCACATAGCACGAAGTCCATCCTTGTAAGTGCGAAGTTCTGTGGTGCTTACGCATCCAGTGTCCACCCACCTTTCAGCTTTAGGACGTTTTTATCACCTCAGAAAGGAACCCCACCCCCCTTAGCCATCACTTCCCAACCCCCAAACACCCCGGCCTCTGCCCCTGGCAATCCCTCATCTGCTTTGTCTCTGTGGGGTTTGTCTGACGAGGGAATTTCATATGTCATCGAATCTGTGGCCTTTTGTGGCTGGCTTTCACTAGGCACGTGTCTTCAGGGTCCATCTGTGTTGTGGCATGATCAGCGCTGCGTTTTGTTTTAGGGCTGAATCCGTGCTCTGCATTGACCCACCTTGCTTAGAGCCATCATTAGTTGCTGGGCATTTGGGCGAGTTCCGCTTTTCGGCTATTACGAATCATGCTGCTCTGAGCATCCGCGTACAAGTGTCTGTGTGGACGGATGTTTCATTTCTCTGGGTATATACCTAGGAGTGGAGTTGTTGGAACATATGGTGACTCTATGTTTAACATTTGTGGAACTGCCAAGTAGTCTCTGAAGTGTCCCCACTGGGGGAAAAAAAGAAAAAGGAAGAAACTTCTTGTGGGGAAGGGAATGATGAAAAACCCAAAACGCCAGCATGTCCACACCATTTTACATTCCCACCGCAGTGTGTACACACCTATGGCGTGTTACTGCCCTTCTCTTGTGATGTGCTATCTCACCGTGGCTTTGCTGTGTCTAATGACCAGCAGTGTTGAGCATCATCTCATGTGCTTGTTGGCCATTCGTGTGTCTTTGAGGAATGTCTGCTTGAGTTCTTTGTCTATTTGGATGTCACCGTTTCACCCGTGTCATGTATTAAGACTCTGGTGGCAAGTAACAGAAACCACTGGGAGTCACGGTCAGTGAAACTGAGGAAGGGGAGGATGTGGAGCCCAGGGCAAGGATGCCTCTGGCTGCTGGCAGGCTGCGGAGTGGACGGTGGACAGAGGGGAGAGGCTGGCAGCTTTGTCTGTCCCTCTAGGTTCTGGCTTTCCTGCTGCCCAGCGAAGAAGGGCAGTCCCCAGAGCAGGTGGGGCGGCTGTCACCGACGTCCAGATCTACCATTCTGAAGGGGAGAGTGGGCGTGGCCCAGCAGGGTCAGGCATTGAGTCTGTCCTCCCAGTGGGAAGTTGATTTCTTGTCTCCACAGGTCATGTCCTTACCCTGCCAGGGTCCAGTCTGGGCTGAGCTAGAACCATCACATCACCTCTGAACTGAACAGTTGAGAGGCTGGGCAGATACCCCAGTGGGATTTCATGTCATTTTCCTAAACTAACAGGACTGGGCATTCCTCACTGGGATTGGCTTGGGTTTGTATTGACACTTGAGGAAAGTCATTGGTGCTTGGAGTGAGGGGTGGAGGGGAAGATGGGGTCCATGGCATTTGATGGTCAGAGGCCTACTCTCTTGATAGAGCAGGACCCTGCTGTGGAAGGATGAGACTTTGATCCCAAGCTTAACTTTGGAGATTGTTAGAAGGCTGGGAGGGAGGAAGGCCCCCCCCAGTCTGGGCCCTGTACCCCTTCACCTGGATGGAGCCTGTGTCTTCAGAGCGAGCCCCGCTGATGCCCTTGAGCCTTTTCAGCAGCCGTGCGGGTGCCTTCTGGAGGTGCCCTGCGTGGGGCTGCGGCTGCTGTCCAGGAGCTCTGCCAAAAGCATGCTTCCCTTCCACCCTCACAGCAGAGCTGGGACGTAGGTGGAATATCTTCGTGAGAACTCGAGGCCTCGCTGCCAGTAAGAGGCCAGGCTGGGATTCGAACCAAACTGTCTTTCCAAAGCCCCAGCCTTTCAAATTTCACTTCTTATGGGAAATTTCAAATGTACACGGTGGAAAGAAAAGACCACACAGTGTTGAGCTTGTCACCACCTCACTTGCTGTCAGTGGTGGCCTTGCCCACACCGTTCTCCTCCCCAAATAACATGCCTAAAGCTCACTTATTCTTTTGTTTCATTTGTAAATATGTGTATTTTTTAAAAGGGGTCTTTTTGGGCTATGCGCAGTGGCTCACACCTGTAATCCCAGCACTTTGGGAGGCTGCGGTGGGCAGATGACGAGGTCAAGAGATCGAGACCATCCTGGCCAACATGGTGACTCCGTCTCCACTAAGAGTACAAAAAATTACCTGGGCATGGTGGTGCGTGCCTGTAGTCCCACCTACTCTGGAGGCTGAGGCAGGAGAATTGCTTGAAACCAGAAAACGGAAGTTGCAGTGAGCCGGGATCACGCCACTGCACTCCAGCCTGGTGATAGAGCGAGACTCTGTTTTCAAAAAAAGGCGGGGGGGTGTCTTTTTAAAAACATAACCTCAATACTGGTAGCTCATGTAAAGCAATGTAATACTTAATACTAGCTATCCTATTGGAGTTCAGATTTTCTCACTTGTCTCATTTCTTTTTTTTTTTTGAGATGGAGTCTCACTCTGTTGCCCAGGCTGGAGTACAGTAGCATGATCTCGGCTCACTGCGACCTTTGTCTTCTGGGTTCAAGCAATTCTGTCATTTCAGCCTCCCTAGTAGCTGGGATTACAGGCGCCACCACGCCAAGCTAATTTTTGTATTTTGAGAAGAGCCGGGGTTTCACCATGTTGGCCAGGCTGGTCTTGAACTCCTGACCTCAAGCAATCTGCCTGTCTCGGCCTCCCAAGGTGCTGGGATTACAGGCATGAGTCACCAAGCCTAGCCTGTCTCAATTCTTTTATAATTTTTTCCCTTGAATCAGGGTCCAAATAAGGAGCCACCCAATGTGATTGGCTTATGTGTCTCTTAACATCTATTTTAATTAATCTTGGTGGTCCCTGCAACCTTTTTTTTTTCCCTTGGGATTCTTTTTTGGAGACAGAGACACCAAAAGAAGACACGTTCTTCTTGCCCAGGCTGGAGTGCAATGGCGCGATTATGGCTCACTGCAACCTCCGCCTCCCAGGTTCAAGTGATTCTCCTGCCTCAGCCTCCCAAGTAGCTGGGATTACAAGGAATGCACCACCATGGGGTTTCTCCATGTTGGTCAGGCTGGTCTCGAACTCCTGACCTCAGGTCATCTGCCCACCTTGGCCTCCCAAAGTGCTGGGATTACAGGCGTGAGCCACCGTGCCCGCCCCACCTTGGGATTTTTTAAGTTGGAGAAACAGTTGTTTGTCCTGTAACAGGAGTTTGCAGTTTATGTCCCTGTACTGGGTTTTGATGTGCTCCTCGTTCCCAGCATTTTCCATAAGTTAGGAGGCAGATCCACAGGCCTAGCCCCATTCTTACCTGCCTTTTAGGCCTGGGGATCCAGAATGCACGACAGGGAGCTGGGGTGAAGGTGGAGAAAGGACAGGAAGCGTGAGATGGGGTGGTTGAGAGTGCTTTGCCCAGGCCTACCTGGCTGCTTTGTCTCACCAAGGCAGACTGGAAGTGGGATGTGGGCAGGGGCACTCGGAGAGGCAGTAGCCAATCAGGAAGCACCTCTGAAGGGAGGCAGCTGGGCATTTGGGGTAGGAGGGAGGAGCCTGTGGTCAGTCACACAAGAAGATGGGTGGGAAACATTCAGAAAGTATTTTAGAAAAAACCTCCCCAAAATGGCTAAAATGGGAACTGAGGGCTGAGCAAGGTACTCAGATACCTGGGGGTTTGTTTTGGTGGGAAGAAGAGTGCCCCGTGGGAGCAGGGCAAAGAGTGCTCCAGCCTCTGCAGCAGTCGTTGTGGGCACATCCTGGCAAGGCCCTTTGAAATGGTGCATACATGCACACTCCCTCTGTATATGGTCTCTGCTTCTGCCAAACCACAGCTCGAAAGGCTCACAATGAAAATGTAGGTAATAGACTCGGGGCCTCAGGTGGATGGCCTTGAAGCCCCCGGGAGACCATACCTGTGAGAGTTTCACTGTCTGCCCAGGGTTCTGAGAGCCCAAAGGAAGCCCTAGACCCAGCAAGTGCCTGAAATCCCAGCAGTCTCAGGTCCCTGAGGATCACCCAGTGTATACCCTGTTACCCCTTTGAAGGGCCTTTCCTGGGTAACATCATAAATGACCAAAAACTGGAGTAGCATTGGGGTGGCCGCTTTCCAGAAGGGTATCATGCCACATCATACCACATTTGCTGCTGCTGTGGAAAGTGCATGCATGGCTCATGAAATTAAGGTGTTTGGAGTTTAAAATCTGGCCCATTTCTTCTTCTTGAGATATAGAAACTCGGCTGTCAGCTGGGGCCTGTGCAACATGTGGGATTTTACAGATCAAAGCAGTGTTAAGATCCCTGGATTGCTGGAGGAAAGTTGGTGACAAGACTCCGGCTGGGCACAGTGGCTCACACCTGTCATCTCAGCTACTCGGGAGGCTGAGGCAGGAGAAGTGAGAGAGTCTTGCTTTGTTGTCCAGGCTGGAGTGCAGTGGTGCGGTTTCAGCTCACCGCAACCTCTGCCTCCCGGGTTCAAGCAATTCTCTGCCTCAGCGTCCCAAGTAGCTGGAATTACCACATGCACCACCATGCCTGGCTACTTTTTGTACTTTTAGTAGAGATGGGATTTCACTATCTTGGCCAGGCTGGTGTCGAACTTCTGACCTCATGATCTGCCTGCCTTGGCCTCCCAAAGTGCTAGGATTACAGGCGTGAGGCACTGCACCCGGCCAGCAAAATGTTTTATTTAAGTTTTCAAAAATGAGCTTAAATAACTTCTTTAAGGAGGCAGTGTGTTAGGAAACACTTTGATCTTGAACAAAACAGCTTCCCCATACTGGGGCCATGGGAAGGACAGGGCCTTGTCTGGAGGAAGTAAAGGTTCGGTGGAGGTTTGGGGAGTGGATGCTCACATTTGTCCTGCAGCCTCTCCCATCTTCACTTCCTCGTCACCCCTGGGAACCCCTTGCCTGTGCTGCCCAAGACTCAGGCTCTGGCCCACTGGTAGCCCTGAATCCAGCGGGCAGCAGTCTTTGGCTCCGCAAGGCATTTACCTGCTGAACTCTGTAAAATTTGGATGTCAGCCCTCAGCGTGCAGAGGTTCAGATCTGTGGCTCTGGAGCCCAGCCAGGCACCTGTGTTTTAAGGAGCTCCAGTGGGAGCATCTGTTGGCAGAGCCCATTAGCTCCCACCTTTCCATTTGTCCTGCCCCCTTGTCTTTGTACAGTCCCTGCAGCCCCAACTGCTGTTCCCAATGTCTGTGGGTCTCATCCTCCAGATCTGTGATTTCTACATGAAGTACAAGCTCTGGGCTAAGAGGCAGACACAAGGCCTTGTTCCTATTCTTGAGGCACTGGAAACCCCAGGCAGGTCTGCCTATCTTATCTCACCCTGCCACAGCTTCCAGAATTATCTCCTACAAACATGGTTTTGATTACATATCTCTACTCCCCAAAGAACAAAGCCTCTGCGGTTGCAGCCAGCTCAGGCCTCACCTTCCCTACATCGGGTCCTCAGTTGACATGGCGCCACTAGGGTGACTCTTGGCCTTCAGCTCTGCCCCTTACCGTCAGCTCACGGCCTTCCTGACGCCTCTTTCCGCCGCTTCCCCATTGCTCGTCTTGTCCAGCTCTTCTAGCATTTGGAGCACAGATAGATGCACGTTCAACTTGCTGGTGCTGCCCCTGCTGGGCTGCCTCGTTGCCAGACAGGAATGGGTCAGGTGGTCTGGGCTGCCGCCTCCAGGTTTGTGTGTGGATGCCTTTGAGGAGGTTGGCCAAGAGACAAAAGTATTACGTCACTTTAGCAACACGAGATTAAAGTCCTTTTTGAGATTGTTTTGTTCCTTGTTCCCCAACTGCCCGATAAGAAAACTCTGGGCAGTGGTTATCAGTCACCTCCCCATCAGCAGGGGCTACAGGGAAGTGGTGTGTACAGAGGCTCCCTGCCCCCCCGGGACACGCAGGGCCCCTCTCTGGGGACAAGCCTTGCCTCCAAAAAATGCAGGTGGTTAAGCCATTTATCAAAAGGATAATAAGGTAGTTTTTGTTTGATGATAAAATATATGAATTTCTACTTTAAAAAAAACAAAACAAACTTTCCTTTTCCCCGACTAAAATACATTCTTCTTACACGGTAGGGGGCGGTACCCAAAGGAAATGCTACAAAAGAATACATGGAGAGCCTGCAGCTGAAGCCCGGGGAGGTGATCTACAAGTGCCCCAAGTGTTGCTGCGTTAAACCCGAGCGCGCCCACCACTGCAGGTACGGCCCGCACCCGCCAGCAGGCACAGGCTGGCCCCGCGCCTCTGTCCTGGGGGGGAGCCGAGACGAGCCAGTGCCCTAGAGTCAACCAGTATGGACTTCGGGATCCTCTCCTTCCCTAGGGATTTGCTGTGGCATGACAGCCAGACGAGGTTCTGAGGTTCCCGTCTCTGTTCCTGGCACACATGCCATGGGCCAGCACGTGTGTGGTCACAGCCCTGGGCACATCCTGTGTGGGGCCAAAAGGGCTCAGAACCTTTGCCTCACTCCTGCTCTGGGGTTCTCCAGCCAGCCGAGGGAGGAGCTGCGTACGTTCGCTTTTGTTCTTACCTAGGGTGGTGCAGTGCACAGGCCAGGCTGTTTTGGACGTGCTCTCCTTATTTTTTTAAAATTTTATTTGGTGTGCTCTCAAACACCAGTTACTATAATTTTAAAAACCCACAGTTCAGTCATCTGCCTGGCTCATGTAGCCTTCCTGGCCCTCACGCCCCACCCCTGCTGGTCTTGGTTGCATTTTATCTGCTTCCCCCACATGTGCCAGCTCCTGACTCCTTTGTCTGCTCCTGGAGGGGTGACCATTGATTTCACGTGCTGAAGTGTGAAAGTCTGGGTGTATTTCTCCATTCCTTGAAATAGTTGCCACACATCCCTGTGCTGTGAAACTGATGGGGTGTGGTTGCACCTAGACAGTACCTTCTCCCAAGGGTCGTGCCCTGCTCGGGTAAGCTGGGTGCCATTGATGACCTCCAGTGGGAGGAAACAGAGATAGGGGTGCTGACTGCTTTATGGCTGGAGTGAAAGCTTTAACAGATTCATATCTACATAGTTTGGCCAGAAAGTGAAGAAAGGCGAAATGGGATCGGGGAGTAGATGGGTGATTGTCTTGAGCTGGGGTGACCGTGGATGGGCTGAGGTTTCTTTCTGGGGTGGTGGAAATTTTTTTTTTTATTTTCTGAGACAGAGTCTTGCTCTGTTGCCCAGGTTCAAGTGATTCTCCTCTCTCAGCCTCCTGCGTAGCTGGGATTACAGGTGCGCACCACCACAGCCAGCTAATTTTTTGTATTTTAGTAGAGATGGGGTTTCACCATGTTGGCCAGGCTGGTATTGAACTCCTGACCTTGTGATCTGCCTGCCTTAGCCTCCTAAAGTGCTGGGGTTACAGGTGTGAGCCACCATGCCCAGCCGAAATGTTCTAAAATTAGATGGTGATGGTCTCACAACTCCAGATAGAATAAAAACCATTGAGTTGTACAATGCAAATGAGTAAACTTTTATGATACATAATTTTTTTTTTTGACATGGAGTTTTGCTTTGTTGCCCAGGCTGAGTGCAGTGATGCAATCTTGGCTCATTGCAAACTCTGCCTCTTGGGCTCAAGCACTTCTTGTGCCTCAGCTTCCCTAGTAGCTGGGATTACTGGTGCCTGCCACCACACCCAGCTGATTTTTGTATTTTAGTAGAAACAGGGTTTTGCCACTTTGGCCAGGCTGGTTTAGAACTCCTTACTTCAGGTAACCCACCTCCCTTAGCCTCCCAAAGTGCTGGGATTACAGGTGTGAGCCACCTCGCCCGGCCTATGGTATATAAATTGTACTTCAGTATATCTGATTAACAAGATAAAATGGGAATGTTTTGGAAGTCAGGTGCTGTGGCGGTCAGGCAGGGAACCCAGGTCAATGAACAGAAGCTGACACTATGATAGCAAGTCTGCCTGGAGCAAACCTGATGCCATAGATGTCTGCTTGATGTAATTAATTGGTAAAAGGTATTACTAAAAAATAATTGATACCTAATCAGTTATTTAAAATTGGACATCCAGCGTGTTTTGGGCGAAAGTAAATTACAGCTGGGAAAACAAGATGACTTAAAGCGTGATTCAAGGTGAATATACATATTCATCAGTGAATATGGGTTAAGTGTAGGAATTATTTGAAGATACGAAGAATGTTTCTTTCCCTAAAGGTAAAAATTCTATTTTTGTTTCTTATTGAAATAGAGTTGTAACTTGTAAGCTTGCAAAATCGGGAACATTATTGATAGGTGTCCATGATCCAGTTTTATGGGGGGAGAGTGAGAACTCGTGAAGTATGGCTCAGCGTGGTCTTTTGCCTCATCCTGTTGGTCCATTGACTATTTTCCTTAGGAAACAGGAGACATTTAATAGGAATATAGTGAGTGGTACGATGTTTCACATGGTATATTAGGATATGTTCTCATTTCCTCCACCTTTGATTTTATTTGGTTTTGTCACTGGTTTCCTCAGAGCATGGAATACTGAAAATCAGACTTTTCTTTTCAGTATCTGCAAAAGATGTATTCGGAAAATGGACCATCACTGCCCGTGGGTGAACAATTGTGTAGGAGAAAAGAATCAAAGGTTCTTTGTGCTTTTTACTGTAAGTAAAAATACTTCTGTAGTGACTTACCCTGAACTTGACATTCTGTAACTGCATCTTGCCTGGAGCAGGGAAATCTGGACCAGCGTCAGACCAGTTTCCCTCCATCCTTTTCTCCAGGGTTCGCGTTGTAATGAACCTCTCACTGTGCTGTCGTGAGAGGACGGTAGTCCCAATACATAAATGTGTTGCTTGTATTACTTCAGGTCTTCACTGTAGTTTCATTCTCTCCCAGATGTCCTCAACCACTATTGTTTATTAATAATAACAATAGGAATCTTCCTAAACTGTATTAGAGCTTATTTCCTTATTTTGTTTATTTCCAGATGGAGTTTTGCTCTTGTTGCCCAGGCTGGAGTGCAATGGCGTGATCTCAGCTCACCGCAGCCTCGGCCTCCCTAGTACCTGGGATTACAGGCAGGCACCACCACGCCCATCTAGTTTTATATTTTTAGTAGAGATAGGGTTTCTCCATGTTTGTCAGGCCGGTCTTGAACTCCCTACCTCAGGTGATCCACCTGCCTTGGCCTCCGCATGTGCTGGGATACAGGCATAAGCCACTGTGCCCGGCCTTTTTTTTTTTTTTTTTTTCAATAGACGGGGTTTTGCCATGTTGCCCAGGCTGGTCTCAAACTCCCGAGCTCAAGCGATTTGCCTAACTTGGCCTCCCAAAGTGCTGGGATTACAGGTGTGAGCCACCATGCCCAGCTGTATTTTTTAATAAAATTACTTGGTGTTATATGATCTTGTGTAGGAAAATGTCCACCACGGCAATTTAATCCTTCCCTCATTTTTCCCTGACATGAAAGTTTCAACGTGATGCTTCATCAGCCTTTGCTCCTAGAAAGATGTAATTGTTTCCGTTACTAACTGGCCAGGCCCCATGTCTCATGCCTGCGCTTTGGGAGGCCAAGGCGGGTAGATCACTCGAGGTCAGTAGTTCCAGACTAGCCTGGCCAACATGGTGAAACCCCATTTCTACTAAATATGCAAAACAATTAGCCAGGTGTGGTGGGTGCCTGTGATCCCAGCTACTTGGGAGGCTGAGGCAGGAGAATCGCTTGAACCCAGGAGGTGGAGGTTGCAGGGAGCTGAGACCACACCACTGTGCTCCAGCCTGGTGACAGAGGGAGACTCTGTTTCTAAAAAAGTGATTTGAAAAGTGACTAAGCACTCTCCCCTCGTTGTAGATGTATATAGCTCTGTCGTCAGTCCACGCTCTGATCCTCTGTGGGCTGCAGTTCATCTCCTGTGTCCGAGGGCAGTGGACTGGTGAGTTCCCTGGTCCTGCATCATTCTTGGCGCATGCTGCTGCTGGGTGGAAGGGGAAGGCTTTAAAGGAAGAACCAGCTTTTCCATTTTCAGGGAAATCACTGCGGTTATTTTAGGAATTGGATTTTAAAGAATTTAGTTAAGTTTTAACACCACCATTTTGCTAGTGTATTGAGACTGGGGAAAACAACAGGAATTTCCCACCAAAGCTTGTGTCTGTCTTCTGGTCAGCTGGCTCGCCGTTGTTCAAAGCAGGCTTCGCCTTGTCTCTGTGAGTACTGACCCTAAGCAGGTGTCGTGAAAACAGGTGCTCATTGTCTTACCTGAGATATGCAGAGAGGTCTGGACAGGCTCATCCCACCGCCGGGAACGTGGGGAAACGGACTCCTGTGAGCACTGCTCACAAGGAAGGCTGCACGCAACCCTTCTGGTCTGGCCTCAGTTGCTATTTAACACACAAATACAGTGTCAATGGAAACCTCAGAAAATACAGAACCTTTGAAGCCACTGGCTGGGAAGTGGTGGTGTGAATTTTTGCTTGGAAGGGTGGCCCTCCTCTGCTCCTTGGAGAACAGTGAATGTGCCCATTTAGAAAGTGAACAGCTCCTCCACGCTGGAAGCTGGCCGGGGACTGGTCCCAGTGGGTTCTTCTCTGAACCACACATTGTGCCATTCCGGGTGTTCAGGGCCGGTTATAACCAGCTTCCTCTTGTTCACAGAATGCAGTGATTTTTCACCTCCAGTAACTGTAATCCTGTTGACCTTCCTGTGCCTTGAGGGTCTTCTGTTCTTCACTTTCACTGCAGTTATGTTTGGCTCCCAGATCCACTCCATATGCAACGATGAGACGGTAAGTTTTGTTCTCAGCCGTGTGTACTTCATACGTATTCGAAGCTTGAGTAAACGGAAGTCCTGCTGTTAACAGCAGGTGCCTGTGGACCGACTCGGGAGAGTCCTGGGGCGGCCTTGACAGCGCCAGCCTTCCCCGTGTTTGCTGTTGCTTTCATTCTGCGCGGTGCGTAGTTCTAGTCTTCGTTTGATTTGCGAGTCAGCAGGGGACGGCAGACCCCCAGCTCCCAGCACATCACTGAATTTCAGGGAATTGGCTGCTTTCAGGGTCTGGCTCTGCAGGCCTGGAGCGGCGCTCAGTAAATGTTTGTGCACAGTACCTGACAGGTGCAAAATGTTGGTGCTTGGCAGTCTGGGCTGGCCGGATGGCTGCAGCTGGGGTTGTGCTCACATAGGCCATCTGGATTGGGGTGGAGCTGGGAAGGAGAGTTCCACGCTGTGCTTGGACACAGTGCGATTCTGAGGCTCCGTGGGGTCTGCCGAGCTTCCTGGAGCCGCTGCCACTTGCTCTTCTTTCTGCTTCCAGGAAATTGAGCGATTGAAAAGTGAGAAGCCCACGTGGGAGCGGAGGCTGCGATGGGAAGGGATGAAGTCCGTCTTTGGGGGTCCCCCCTCACTCCTCTGGATGAATCCCTTTGTCGGCTTTCACTTTAGGCGACTGCCCACGAGACCCAGAAAAGGCAGCCCGGAGTTCTCAGTGTGAGGCCTGGTTCGACAGGCTGGAACTTGCTCACAGACTTCCGCTTATTTATTTGGGGTCTGAAGGAGATCAACGGCTCATCTGTGACCAACAGGGCAACTGGAACCTACACACACCAACTGCTTGCAGCAAGCAGAGTTTTATCTATTTCTAGTCACAGACAGCAGATTCTCCACACCGGAAGAGGCGCTCGGTCGCCACCTGTACAACGTCGGAAAGGTGTGTGGCCAAGCAAAGAAGCCAAATGTCACGGCCTTCCTGCAGAGTTAGGATTTTTGTTGAGGATATTTGCATTTTCTAAGTCGTTTGGGTTATTACATGGGTTATTCAAATCCTGTGTACTGAGCTGCTGTTTCCAGTCATGAAGACAAACAGTCAATCCAGTGAACAGGCATTCTCCGAGCAGTCATTTCCGGGGGCCCTGCTGACTGCTCTCAGCAGTGCACTCCCCGGACCACCGCAGGGCGTCTCCATAGAAAGACGTTTTGGTCTCCATTAGCTCTGATGCTTTGCACCGAAGTTGCAAAAGATCTGTGCACTGAACAGTGAAGGTGGCTTCCAGCACAATCCCCCGGAAGAGACATCCTTTGACCCTCTCAGCAAGTGTGTGTGTGTGCGCGTGTCTGCGTGTGTGCATGTGTGTGTCAAAATTGCCAGTGTTGTTGAGGCAGTGTAACATTTACCGGCTGCATACAGCAAACAAGCTATTTTTCAGGGAAGAGGGGGGAGAGGCCGCGGGGTCCTCTCCGTGATTACTATGAATGTATTGCTACTGGAGGACATCTCGATCCAAAGAACAGTTGTTCCTGTGCGGTCCTTCATTGCCCTCCTGCTTTAATTTAAAAAAAAAATCTTGAGTGCTTGAGGGCCTTGGAACTGATTTTTTTGTTCCAGCCAAATATAGCAGTGTCTAAATGGCTCCTGCGGAGGGGCAGAGCCGCAGCTCAGTGACCTGATCCATTAGGCGCTCCATGCTGTTGGTGTGTGGGGCAGGGGAGGCGTTCCAGGTGGAGAGGCAGGCCCTGGACCTTGGGCACCTCTGGGAAGGTGAGGGGACCATGAGGCAGACAGCCCCTGTCCGGGGCGACTGTGCCACCACGCAGGCAGCGCTCAGGTGGCAGTGGTCAGGATGGCGACTTCCTGTTGCATTGTTTTGTTAGCTTTTACGTTTTCTCTACCCACGGCACAGGTGATAAAATAGGATCCTTGGTGTGGAGCTTAAACTTATGCGAGAAAGCCAACAGCTCCCCTCCGTGGGGACTTGCCTTAACCTTGCCTGGTTTGTACATTTTTTGACAGATGCATCGAGAAGCAGTCTGTGACAAAGTCCGAGGGTCTTCCTTTAAGCTCGCCCTCCAGCCTGAGAAGTTGGCGTCCCCTCCTGGGAACTGTTTGCCTGTCTGTTCATCTGTGACCTGTTCTCTGTTTTTAATTTCTCTCTACCACACCTGAATCAGGGCTTCTACCACTGCTGATGCAAAACCACAAAGGGACCTACCTGAGCCACCGTCCTAGCCAAGCGAGCAAGCCTGCGGGGGTTTGGAAGTGGACTCTTCACTAGGTGAAGAAGTGCGTCACAGCCGGACGGACAAAGCATAGATCGTGCGTGATCCTGGAGACGAGTTTTCAGAGACCGTTCTGCATATTCATTTGCACTTGTCTGGGTGGGACACGTGTATGGGCTTCAGCGTGAGGCTTTTAATATGTATATCCTGTTACCAATAAAAATTACCCAAGTGGTTGAACCCTGTGAGACTTGGCAAGTGTGTACGAATCAAGTATACTTGACTTTCAACCTCTTCTTTCAATGTAACTTTTATATGAAATAAAGTAATCCATTGACAGTTCTCAAAAGGTTTCCAAAGCGCCTGTTCTTCATGGATGGCAGTGTTTTCAGGGGGGTAGCCTTTCCGTGATTCCTGGACCCAGCCCCAGGCTGTTAAGGTCGCTCCCAAGCAGTTTCCAGAACCTTTAAGTGCATTCGTGCACGACTCACAAATGTTGCCCTCTGAGGGCCGCCGCTCTGTGAGGGCCGCTGCTTGTTGAACATTTAATTCAACTCCCATCGTTTTTTTTGTTTTTTTGTTTTGAGATGGAGTCTCACTCTGTTGCCCAGGCTGGAGTGCAGTGGCATGATCTCGGGTAACTGCAACCGCCACCTCCTGGGTTGAAGCGATTCTCCTGCCTCCGCCTCCTGAGTAGCTGGGATTACAGGTACGTGCCACCATACCAGGCTGATTTTGGTATTTTAGTAGAGATGGGGTTTCACCATATTGGTCAGGCTGGTCTTGAACTCCTGACCACAGGTGATCTGCCCGCCTTGGCCTCCCAAAGTGCTCAGCCAGCTCCCATAGTTTTAGTTCTTTTCATTGCATATTAAAATAAAAACAGTGTTTCAAAAATCTCTCTCCATGGTCCGGAATCTCAAATACCTACAATTTGGTTTTAATTCATTGACCAAATTTGTCTAGTATTTGCACTGTGAGGGAACCAACATGCCCACTTACCTTCCAGAGGCCAGATGGTTGGTGGTGCCACAGCCCTGCCTCATACATGCTGTGCCTTGGGGTACCCGGTGGCATTCCAGAACACAGAAAAGGGAAGGAGACTCGAACTCAGAGGCGTGGACCTGAACCGGGCCACTGCGTGGACAGCAGCTCTCCAGCTTGTGTTTGTGGCTGTGCCGAATTTTGCTGCAATGTTATTTATATTCCTTAGATTAAGCAGGCGCATTATATAGAAGTGTGACGCTTATATTAAAACACAAATATCCCCCAAATAGGAAGGTGGCTAAATCCCATCTTCTATACACATGAACAGCCGGGTAAGAAAAGCCGGGGAAGAAGCTTGAAGGGTAGGTAGCCTGGGAGCTGCGCACAAAAAGCAGGATGACCACAGAAAAAGTGCACGTGCCAGCCCGGCACGGTGGCCACACCTGTAATCCCAGCACTTTGGGAGGCCGAGGTGGGTGGATCACGAGGTCAGGTGTTCAAGACCATCCTGGCCAACATGGTGAAACGCTGTCTCTACTAAAACAAAAAATTAGCCGGGCACGGTGCACACCTGTAGTCCCAGATACTCGGGAGGCTGAGAGAGGGGAACCGTTTGAACCAGGGAGGTGGAGGTTGCAGTCAGCAGAGAACCCGCCACTTCATTCTAGCCTGGCAACAGAGCAAGACTGTCTCAAAAAAAGAAAAAAAATTGCAAGTGCCCTGCAACGTCTCCTCTTTAAAACTGTGTTGCTCCTCATCCAGCTGCTAATTTTAGCTAAGACACCTGAAGACACCAAGGGAAAGTAAGTTGTGACAGGCCTGTGGCTGGTTCTGGGAGCTGAAAGCTGAGCTGCTCTGAGCTGTAAGAACGTGTGGCTCAGTGACCAGGCCCGATGGGCGCCTGCAAGCAGCTTCCCAAAACAGCCAGCAAGTTTCCCAAGAAGGTTCTAGGCACAGCACATCTGCAGTCCAGAGAACTCCAGGTTTCCTGCCTGCTCTCCCCTCCGCATTCACCACATGTACATACGTCCCGCATTTTGTACATGATCAAGTTTAGTTGTGATGACTGAATACTCTGCTTCTAATCTAGATAGGGGCCTCTGATTTTTTTTTTTTTTTTTAAGACAGAGTTTCACTCTGTTGACAGGCGCCAGGGTGGAGTGCAGTGGCAGGATCTCGGCTCACCGCAACCTCAGCTTCCCAAGTAGCTGGGAGTACAGGTACACACCACCATGCCCAGCTAATTTTTTTTTTAGTAGAGACGGGATTTCACCATGTTGGCCAGGATGGTCTTGATCTTTTAACCTCGTGATCCGCCCGCCTCAGCTGGGATTACAGGCATGAGCCACCACGCCTAGCCTGGGGCCTCTGATTTCTTTGTCTAACCTTTTGCTTTTACAGAGGTGAAGCTGCCTCTTGTGCGCCCGTTCCAGCTGTCACTGAGTGCCTGCAGCCAAGCCAGCCTGTGCTGCAGGCATCAACCTGCCACCACCCCCATTCCCTGCTGAGATGACCTGGCTTCTCCAGGGTTGCTGGGTTCAGGGCGTGGCCTTTCTGTGCTTCCGGATCCCACCAGTGGTAAAACATACTCCCTGGGAGCCGGTGGAGAAGGGGTGCCTTATTCTTCACGTCTCCAGTGTTTTGGCCCACCTAAACTGCCTTATTCTATCTCACCTTTGGTTGACGGCATAGGTAAATACTTTACACTCAGCCTGTGAGTGTATTTCAGCATCTTCCGGCTCCCAGAGCAGCCATGGAGAACCCATGCTCTCCTGCTCCCTGCACTATGTGACTGAAAATTTTGTTTTTCTTTTTCTTTTTTTTTTCCAGACAGGGCCTTTCTCTGTCACCCAGGCTGGATCTCAGCCCAGACTGGAGTGCAGTGGTGTGATCTTAGCTCATTGCAATCTCCAACTCCTGAACTCAAGTAATTCTCATTCTTCAGCCTCCTGAGTGGCTGGGACTACAGGTGCTTGTCACCACACCCAAATAACATTTTTGTATTTTTGGAAGAGACAGGGTTTTGCCATGTTGCCCATGCTGGTCTCAAACTCCTGACCTCAAGGGATCCACCCGCCTCAGCCTCCCAACGTGCTGGGATTGTAAGTGTGAACCATCGTGCCCGGCCCACATCTCTCTTTAGTCCTTGGGCCTCAGCTCTCCCCTGGCTGTGCTGGTGCTCGGTAGAGCCTTTCCACCTGACACTCAGCTTTCTGCTTCTGGCAGATGTCCTGTGTTATGCCTTTGGGCATCCCGTTTTCTCCATTTCCTTTCTATTCTAACTTTAAAATTACATGTTGAACCGTCTACAGTGATCCTCTAATTTTCTTATCGTACACTCTGTTTTCTGGAAAATCTTTTACCTTTGCTTTTAAAACAAATGTTAAGATTGAGGTCTTGCTCTATGCCTCAGGCTGGAGTGCAGTGGCAGGATATCTGTGCTCTGCAACCTCTGGCCTATCAAGTTCAAGTGATTCTCCTGCCTCAGCCTCCTGAGTAGCTGGGATAACAGGCATGTGTCACCAAGCCCAGCTAATTTTTGTATTTTTAGTAGAGATAGGGTTTCATTCACTACGTTGGTCAGGCTTGTCCTGAACTTCTGGCCTCAAGTAATCTGCCCGCCTGGGCCTCCCAGAGTGCTGGGATTACAGGTATGCACCACAGCACCTGGCTAATTTTTTGTATTTTTAGCAGAGACGGGGTTTCACCATGTTGGCCAGGCTGGTCTTGCCTGACCTCAGGTAATCTGCCCACCTCAGCCTCCCAAAGTGCTAGGATTATAGGTGTGAGCCACCAACCCCGGCAGCTGCTGGCTTTTCTGGGGCTCAGTAGACAAGGGCCCAGAAGCTTTGCTGGGCAGTTAACAGACTGGCCCCTCTCTCCTTTTCTGCTCAAGTAGTGCCTGTTGTCCTTGACCCCATGATCTTCCAGGAATAAGCTGCCCCTCTCCTTTGGGGTCCAGGGGTGGTGCCCAGGAGTCTGACCTCCTCCTTGGGAAAACTTTCCCCATCCTTCATATCCGGGAACCACTTGTCAAGCTCTGGTCGTCCTTAGCACTCCCTCACGTCCCTGGGAGACAGTGTGACCGAGGTGGTCATTTCACAGGTGGGGAAATGGAAGCCAAGAAGCTTTCTGACATGTCCAGTGGGGTGAGTAACAGAGCTGACCCCTCCTGGTATACCAGCCCACGCTCAGGAGAAAATTTCCCCAGATACTCATGACAGCCCTTGTTCATGGGAAACCTGCCTGTCCTGTGCTATGATTTCACACGCAGTTTCCCTTAATTCTTGCAATCATCATAGTTTTCTCCATTCTCTCTCATAGATGGAGAAACTGAGGCTGAGAGAGGCTGCTCAGGGACCCTTAGGTAGCAAACAGTGATCATATTATGTTTACACTATCAACACTTAGCTGCTTAATAATCGTGCCATTAACAATGTGAACAAGTGTAACAGGGACTTCGCTCCAACTCACCTGGTCATCCAGAAGCACACGGCTCCACGGGGCAAAGAGCTGCCACTTTGTGGATTTGCACACGTTACTGTGGGTGGTCACATGGGAGGTGAGTGCCAGGAGAGGGGCAAACCCTGCAGTAAGAGAAGGGGTAGGCACCTGAGCATGTGCCTGCATGACGGCCACCAGGGGGCGCCACGAGACAGCAAATGCCCACCCACTGCTCAGGCCGCGTGAACAAGTTCACAATGACTGGCTCCTCTGCTCAGTCGGTCCACAGATACTTAGAGAAGCCTCTGACCTCAACAGACACTAACTAGCTGGGTGCGATGGCTCATGCCTGTATCCCTAACACTTGGGAGGCCAAGGCAGGTGCATCACTTGAGGTCGGGAGTTTGAGACCAGCCTGGCCAACGTGGCAAAACCTCGTCTCTACTAAAAACACAAACATCAGCTGGACATGGTGGCTCATGTTTTTAATTCTAGAAACTCAGGAGACTGAGGCAGGAGAGTCGCTTGAACCCGGAAGGCAGAGGTTGCAGTGAGCCAATGCCCTCCAGTCTGGGTGAACAGTCAGTCTTGAAAAAAAAAAAAAAAGACACTAACAGAAAAAATTAAATATGCAGTTGGTAGACTGTGATTTCTGCTGAGTGTTGAGAACGGGATGTTCGCCATCAGCGTGGATATTGAGGAGGAGGAGTTGTCAGAGAGGGGCCCTGGGGGGGAGGTGAGGGGCCTGCAGCTGTGGTTACCATCCATGCGAAGGCCCTGGGGCAGGGAAGACCTGGGTTTGTTGGAGTACATTCCTGCGGGCAGCTGGCTTTAGTCTCTGTAATGTCAATGTGGAGTCAGAACTGGTTAAGACCCCCGAAAGCTGGGGCTGTAAGCTGCAGAATTCACCCAGCTTCG